TCTAACAGGAACTTCTCTTTTGAGTTCAAACGTCTCAAAACAAGTCCGTCAAGATCCCACATTTTCGAAAATGTCTCGAGCGAAACGGCCGTTTTGGGGGGAACCTACCCAGACAAGAACGGGAAGCGCCGCTCCTCTTAGCTTGCGTGCGCAGGCACACGGATTCCCACGTAAAGCGGAATGCGTCCCTATGGTTGCCTGCGTTTGCTTTGATGAAGTGTTGCGCGTGGCGTTTGCACGTAGTGTGTGTGTGTGTGTGTGTGTGTGTGTGTGTGTGTGTGTGTGAGTGTGTGTTGTGTGTGTGTGTGTGTGTGTGTGTGTGTGTGTGTGTGTGTGTGTGTGTGTGTGTGTGTGTGCGTGTGTGTGCGTGCGTGCGTGCGTGCGTGCGTGTGTGTGTGTGTGTGTGTGTGTGTGTGTGTGTGTGTGTGTGTGTGTGGTGTGTGTGTGTGTGTGTGTGTGTGTGTGTGCGTGCGTGCGTGCGTGCGTGCGTGCGTGCGTGCGTGCGTGCGTGCGTGCGTGCGTGTGCGTGTGTGCGTCTCTTGGGGTATCTTGGACCGTCTTGGAGCATTCTTGGACAGTCTTGGAGCCCTCTTGAGCTCTTCCCGGACCGACTCGTTTCGCAAACTCCCTAGATATCACCGTTTTTCGAGGGTGTCTCGAGCGAGAGCCCCATTTTGAACTGAAGACGTCTCGAAGCAGCTCGTCCACGATCTCATTTTTTTGAGGATGTCTCGAGCGATAGTCTCATTTTTCAGATTTCGACGAATTCGCGAGATCCCTGGAGATATCACTTTTTCGAGGATGTCTCGAGCGGGAGCCTCACTTTTGACGTAAAGCTTCTTAGAACAAGTCCTTCAAAATCCAACTTTTTATAGGATGTCTCGAACGAAACGGCCATAAAGGGGGGACTCCGCCATCCCCCGCCCAATCCCGAGCCCGTGGTCCCTCGCGTCTCTGTTCTTTATTAACTCGTAGGAAGCATGGCCGAAGAAACTCCCACCACCTTCTCGTTCCGAGAAGGCGCTTCCCGTCATCCGCCAATCGATGCACCCCGCCCAACTCCGAGCCCGTGGTCCCTCGCGTCTCTGTTCTTTATTAACTCGTAGGAAGCATGGCCCAAGAAACTCCCACCACATTCTCGTTCCGAGAAGGCGCTTTTTTTGACAACGCAACCCCGACCTACGAGGTCTCGCGAGCCCTCACAAGGCCTGCCGACAGGGAGGCCTGCGCGCGTGTGCGTAGACGGACGCAACACACGAGGCGCCCACCCACTGGTGGGCAGCTTCGCACGTCAGTCATCGGCCCTCTGACCGTTGGACTGGTGACAAGCTAGAAAACGGCACTGAACGTGTTTCACACCAAAACAAAACTGTAGCTCAATAGCCCAAGCCACTAATTCAGGGGGCTCACGACGGGAGCCTCCCAATTATGCGACTCAGTCACATTTCTTCTTGCCCTTTGCCTTTGGCTTTGTCCTGAACGCCCGCTCCACGACAACAATCGCACTCGGAGCGGGAGGCATAGCCGTCGTCGATCACTAGGCCTTCTTTCTTCTGCCACGTCAACGCCTGTTTCAACGTGCCATTGGACTCGATCAGCTTCCGATGACGATCAGCCGTCACAATCCAACGAACATTGCCCGCCTTCACCTCATCCATGCACTTAATCATGAAGCAGCGCATGGCCTGAAGCGAGTTCTTCAGGAGAGCCACGGCGCTAGCAGCTCCAGCAACTTCCACGGCCCCCTGCACGGCCGCCACGTCGTCCACGTCCATGTCCGCCCCCACGGGGTCGGCGTTCAGCTTCAGCGCCACATGGAGGTGGTAGAGTACCGCTAGCAGCATCACGTCGGGCTTCTTGCCCTGGGGGTGGCCGAGGTAGTCCACTACCTTATCATCCGCCTTGGCCTGTGCTGCCTTTCCCTCCGCGTCGTACGGCTTGATGGAACGGTCGTAGCCCAGCTCCAGCTTGCACTTGTTCACCATATCCATCAATACTTTGTTGTCCCTGGCGCACGAGCGGTGGGTGTCCTCGTGCTGCAATCTCAGCTTGGCCATCTCCTTCAGCGGCCGTCGCTCGTTGCAGCTCAGGTTGAAGCCGGCGGCCGCTGATGAGCGTCTGACTTGGGGCTTGTCAGCTAGGGCGCGGTCGCAAAGAACATGAAGGTCGCTGAGTTGGCCACTCGTAATTCTGAGACCGCTCAAGCTCCCAAGCTGCACTCGATGACTATCTTGGATATCAGAACGTAGTGCGATCTTTTTGGATACTGCATTGGCCACTCCGTCCACGAGATGGCGAGGTGATCGGGTAGAGGTCGTAATGATGTAGCATTCGCTCATACAGTGTTGCCCGACGGAGAGCTGACCAAAAAGCTCCGTTGGAAAACTGTCTGCCGTTGTTGGATCAATATCCCACAGCTCAACAATGAGTCTGTCCTGGTACTGAGGCACACTGCTGGTCAGCGGTGTGATGGGTCCGCCATTGCCTCCAGCCTCCGCCTCAGCCTCGGGCCACTTCTGCCAGATCTTTGCAACACCAGCAAATAGGGGCTGGTCCCGAGACTCCACATGTTGGGGCGGAGCTCGCTTAGGAACGAGTCGACCCACTCGGACGGATTCCTCCAAGATCCTTTGGTCACGAGCTGGTCCCAATGCCACTGGAGTATCACTGGTAGCTGTAGAGAAGTCCTGATCTCCAGTACGCATGGACGTCGCAATGTAGACGATTCTGAACGCACCCTGGCCTTCTGGATTGCGCCACGTTTTGCTGCGACCATTTGCACTGCCAATGGTGCCCCGTAGGGCAAGTACGTCCCCCTGTGCAGCAGCAGAGTGTCGAGGAACTTTGTCCCGTTGGTCAGGCATCAGCGTAGTCTCGACTTTGTTTGACCATACCTTGATGAGGCCACGCCGTGATGAGCGGGAATGGGCAGGAAGAAAAGATGGGACGGGTACAGCACCGTTGAGCGCCGCCATTCTGCATAGCTTCGCCACTGCGTCCTGGCCCTCGTACAGGTCGCCCTTATACCACTCTCGCCCTCTGGCGGGAATGGTGCGGCAGGCTCGGTGGTAACACCACATGCTGTGCACTGGCTCGTCTCTGTCGGTCCTTGTCGGCAACCTCTCGAGACTCCAGGACGGTCGTGCCGCCGTCCAGCGCTCGGCCCTCCAGCGCGTAGTATTCAGCTCAGCGACGGCTCGCGATAGGAGGCAAAGGACGAAACATCGTAACAATGCCATCGCACTTGCATGCTGTGCGGGGGTTTGCGACCCCGCTGGCAAATCTGTGTCGCTCGACATCGCTCGAGCCAGGGCCTTGAGAAGGCGCTTCCCGTCATCCGCCAGCGAGGTTCCGGATGCAATCCGCGTCCATTAGTTCAAGGAAAAACGAATTTTACCAGAGAGCCAACGGTCCACGCCGGAGGCGCTTCCCGTCATCCACCACTGTGCTTCTGGGCGCGGAGTGGGCGTGTCCTCAGGTCCTTTGCCTACTCCCCTGAGCCTTTTTTCAATCCTGAGGATTCTTAAGGGGTCCAGAGCCCAAATTCTCAAATCTCCTGTGCCACGTCTTCTCGCATGACTTTTTCGGGCCCGAGAGGGCCTCAACACGAGCCTAGAGGGTTCCAAGGTGCCCCCAAGAGGGTCCATGAGGGCCCCGAGTCGTCGATCGATCGCCCCAAGACGCCCAAGATGGCCTCAAGACGGCCCCAGAAGCCTCGAAAACGCACCATGAGGCTTCTTAAAGAGGACCCCAAGAGGCAAGCATCATTTGTTTACCATCGGTGTTTGACAAATTTTGGAGTTCTCGCGTTTTCGGCGTTCCGACGCTTCGAGACGGCCCAAGAAGCCCCCAAGATCGCCCCAAGACGGCCCCACAGCCCCCCAAGAGGCCCCAAGACGGCCCAGGAGGGCCCCAAGACGGCCAAAGACGCACCCAAAACGGCCCAAAAGGGCCCAAAGACGGCTCCCTCGGCCCCGAGGGGCCCCCAGGAGGCCCCAAGAGGCCCCCAAGAGGCCTCAAAGAGGTCCCCAGCGGCCCCCAAGAGGTCCCCAAGAGGCCCCCAAAATGCTCCCAAGACGCTCCCAAACTGCTCCCAATAGGCCCCCGAGAGCGCTCCGTAGAGACACCTAGAAGCATCCCTGAGAACTCTGACCCACAACCCAAGCACTGTGGCGGGATGGGCCGAAGGCCATTGGATACTTGACCCACGTCGCGATTACCTGTCAATGCTAAACCGAAGCAAGCTAACAACTAGACTGAGCATAGCTTGAAACTATACGGCAATCCCAATGCTAATAAACGACGCGCACATAACCTGTGAAGGACAGATCCTACAATATCAAATTATAGCTTTGCGCTGTATAGCATGCCAACTTCAGCTGAGCGCGCACCATTACCAAGAAATGCCCAATGAGTTCCAACCTCTTTGAGCGCTGGCTGGGGTTAAACTTACCTTACCCAACAAACTCACGAAGGTCACGTCGGAGCCACAACGAGGCCAAGTTCACAACTCCTCATCCCTCCGTCGCTTCGATCTCCTCCACCTTCCCTCCTCCTTTTCCATTTTCCCCGTAGGAGTATTCTGGGAATCTGCGGATACGTTCGAGACATCACAAGCACCCGAAACAGTTCGGAAACCTTAGAACACTCGCGAAAACCAGCGAAGGACTGAAACATGCATGAACACACGGGAACACATTCGAACATCTTTGAAACCATCGAAAACTTCAAACAATGCGCGACAACATGGGGGAACTGCAGAAACCATTATAAAACCTCCCCCCTCTCCTTTCACTCCACCCCCTCAAACTCGACCCCTGAGTCTCCGGGCTGACCAGGACTTCGAGGCGGATCCAGCGTGGCCCAGAGGAGGAGAGGAGAGACAAAACAAGACATCCCAGAACCTCGATCCTTCTCCCTCTCCTCCTCCTCCTCCTCCTCCTCCTCCTCCTCCTCCTCCTCCTCCTTGCTCCAACGCCTTGACTGCACCGCCCTCCGGCCAGTGAGCTCGTGATGAGGTGGAGGCGAGAGTACAACGCGAGCAGCTGGCAGCCGACGGAGGGCAGCGCACCACCGCAGGCCGACCGAGCTGCGCGGCCAAAAAAACACCTCCCACCGAGCCACGCCCGAGCCACGCCCTCACAGCAGCTTCCACACGTCGCCGATGCCGTCGAACGACCCCGGGGCTGGCGCCCCCGAGCTCCCCGCAGCCCCACTGGCGCCTGACGTCGAGCAACGACGGCGACGACGACGACGACGAAGACGAAAACGACGACGACGACGACGACAACGGCGCATGACCACGACCACGACCACGACCACGACCACGACCACGACGACGACGTCGACGACGAAGACGACGGTGGCGGCGGCGTCAGTGGCGGCGGAGCCCCCGTGGCGTGACTCCCGGAGAGGCGCCGTCGGAGGGTGCGACGCTCCGAGAAAGCATTGGAGCGGAGGGCTCTGGCCCTCTTCGGCCTCCCGGGGGGCCCCCGCCGAGGCCGCGGGGCCATCGAGGAACGGCTCAGGACGGAGAGGAAGTGGCCCCCAACCCCCGGGGCCCACCTCGTCGTCGTCGTCGTCGTCGTCGTCGTGGTCGTCGTGGTCGTCGTGGTCGTCGTGGTCGTCGTGGTCGTCGTCGTCGTGGTGGTCGTCGTCGTCGTCGTCGTCGTCGTCGTCGTCGTCGCCGTCGTCATCGTCGTCGTCGTTGTCGTGGCCGTGGTCGTGGTCGTGGTCGTGGTGGTGGTGGTGGTGGTGGTGGTCGTCGTCGTCGTGGTCGTCGTCGTCGTCGTCGTGGTCGTCGTCGTCGTCGTCGTCGTCGTCGTCGTCGTCGTCTTCGGGCGTGTTTGGGTTTCTGGGCGCTCTGGTGGGCTCTGGGGGACTCTGGGGGCAGGAAATGTACATGTGAAAGGGGGGTAGCAGCCTCCGAAGCGAATCGCGGTTGGAACCACTGGTTGAGATCCGGCTCGCACTAACCGAATTCCGACATTGCGAAATAAACGCTGCGTCGTGACTGACACGTATGGTTAGAATTCTCGACCCCACCCTCGTGGGCCGCTTTTTCGGATAGGAGCGGTTCGCGAAGGTCCTGGGGCCCGACTTTGGGCGAGACGGCCCGTCTTATTTTCACCACGCCAGGATGCCAGGGTCCTGCATCACAGAAGACTAGGATATCGCGCGCGCTTCGCGCGAGCGCTTAGGTTCTAGCACCCCCTGAGCCCTTGATACGCTCGCAACCGTCGGCAAGGGCACAATCATGTGTCGTGGGAGCGGCCTCTCTTCTTTCCGCTTGCTGTTTTGTTGTCTTCCCGCTTAGATTGGCCTCTCCTCATGCATCTCCTTGAACATCTCTCCCCCGCCGGTCGGGAAACAAAGAAGCCATTCGATACATCGGATGGAATTGGCGCGGAGAGTACGGAGGAGGGCGGCGATGTCGGTGAGGAGAATGAGGAGCACACGAGGGCAGACAAGGAACATGAGCAGGACAATATGTGGGATGTGGAGGAGAAATAGGAGAAGTAAACTACGAACAGGAAACGGGGGGTGGACACAAGGATGGCGATAAACAAAGCAGCAAATGAACGAATATCTGGAATACATACAGAGGAGGAAGAGGAGGATGAGGAGGAAGAGGAGGAGGAGGAGGAGGAGGAAAGGAGGGTGGGGAGGAGGAAAGGAGGGTGGGGGAGGAGGAGGAGGAAGAGGAGGAGGAGGAGGAAGTGGAGGAGGAGGAGGCGGAGGAGGAGGACCAATGTAAACCCAAGAGTCATCAACGATGTTGGAATAAACCGTCCCTCCAAACTCCTGCTTTATACGCCCTAGAACGGTTCATTTCCAATGAGGGAACTGCCTCGTTGAAAGCCAACCGTTCGAAAAACCTGAAGCATACCAGAACTTTGTGTTATTAGTTGTTTCTCTTCCGCCCCTCCCCGATGGAAGATGATGTAGTATTTTTTCAGGGGGTCATCTTACAATAACCTCTGGCAAATCTTCATTCAATGCAGGCTTGACGGGATCTCAACCTCCTGGTACCCGCCGACTCCCTCTTGTGTCATCTTCCAATTTTCTCTCTCGTCGTCCCCCCACCCAGCCAGCTTTGTTTTGCCAGGCGGGCGGGCGGGGCAAATACTCCTGGAGCTGGGCGGCGCAGTGCTCCCCTGCCCCCCCAGCCCTCAATCCGAAAGTTTACAATTGCAACTGATTGCTCACCTCTGTGACCCCATGTGCTGGCCGAAACTGGATGGCACAAGTATCCACGCTGCGCATCCGACTCTGGGGCAGACACCTTCTCAAGGTGCGCGTTGAACACTGTCTGCGGCCCAAATATCCCAAACATTGCACCAACTGAATGGCTGACCTGCCGCTCGCAGTGGGTACAAGTATCTCCAGAGGTGCATCCGAATCCGGGGCAAGCGCCTTCCCGAGGCGATGAAACTGTTCGTGGTCCGATTCCCAAAACAGTGCAGCATCCTCGCTCGACGGACGGAAAGGGCATGCGTGCACTTGCGAACGGATGTTCGCAGGATGGCATAAAACATGAGATGCTTCGCATATGAAGTGCTTATGTGTTACCTGCTGTTTCCCTTCTGCCCCTCCCCGATGGGCCATCTTACAATGATATCTGGCAAATCTTTATTCAATGCAGGCTTGACGGGATCTCGGCCTCCGGGGACCCGCCGACTCCCCCTGAACTCAGCCGTCTCCGCGCGAGTCTCCCAACGAAACTTGGCGGCGGCACTCTCCACGCCCGGGCTCCCAGGGCGTTGGGCAAATGATCGAATTTGCCCCGACTCGGCCCATCGGAAAAATTGCTCGCTGATGACGCTCGGCTGAGGTGCGCGCGGCTTCCGGCGTGCTCCTCAGCCTGCCAGTGCTCGCCCAGAAGCCATGCGCTTGCTGGCGACGGGCTGTGTCCTTGGATCAACCCGAAGTGGGCACTGTCGCTATCGACGAATCCCAGCGCGCTCCTGCCAGGATGCTGCTCGAAGACGCTGGCCCACTCGATCCTCGCAACCAACGCTGGCCAGATCTCGAGCTGGCCGATCAGCTGCTCGCGCCCGGTCTCGCGAGCCAGCTGCTCTGTCAATGCGCGTGGGATGTCGCGCCCGAAGGCCTCCACCAACTTTGACACGGGATCGACCAAGACTGCCCTGATGAAGGGGCCCCAGGACACACAAATAAATACACACAAACAAAAAGATCCCCCATACTTTCCGATATTTTCTGGGTTTTTGTCTTCCCCCCCACTTCCCATATTTTCGAATATTTTCTGGGAATCGCTGATTAATTGTGTCTGTGTGTTTTTCCCCTCATGACCTGATGCTTCCGCGAACCGCTCCGTCTACCAATTCGCGCGCACCGTCCGTGAACAGGACCGGCGGGGGAGGGGCCCCGAAGAGGCGCGCGCTGCGCGGCTTGGCAGCCGCCAGATGCTCCATCCACCACCGGGGAACTCCGTCGAGCACGCTGTCCACGCCTCCCCCCTGGGCCTTGCCGTCCTCTGTCCTCCGGGCGTGCCGCGACCCAGCCGCGCCGCAGCGGCCGAAGATCTGCGACGATGCGAAGTGCAGCTTGCCCTTGAGTCGCGCCGCCTCCGTAGTGGGAAGGCTGCGTGTCTGGGGGGCGTCCTGTATCAGCTCCTCGGGGGTCTCCCTCCTCTGGGCGGTGTTTGACACGCCGAGCTCGCCGCGAATCATCGCGTGGCCGAAGTCGAACAGCGCTCCCAGGGCAGGAAAGCGCACGTCGAAACGTGGTTCCGAGCACGCCTGTGCAAGCCTGGAACGCCTCCTCCATCCACTCGGAGATAACCTTCGGCACCACGAGCGGGAAGTCATCGAGATACTTGGTGATCGGCGCGCTGTGAGACCTGATGGCGCAGATCTTGAGGGCTGCAGGAGCTCGACTGAACTCGAGCACCGATGCCCAGGCTCCGAAAGGCAAAGCGCGTGCAACGCAATGAAGCATTTCGCCTGGGCGCTGTGGGTCCGCGAAGGCAAGCGCGGCGTAGTCGGAATCGACAGGCGCAACAGACAGCTGCTTGCGCTTCCTCAAAGTCGATGAATTTTGCGGCCAAAGCGTCGTCTTTCCACAAGCGGCTCCCGCGCGTCGCCCGACCCGACTGCAGATCGGGGGTCCTCTGACCCGGGTCAATCCAAACCCGGGTCAGTCAGGCCTTGCAGAATCCTGCAAAATCCTGCAAGATCCTGCGCCCAAGCCCAGGTCAATGCGAAGGATCCTGCAAGATCCTGCAGGATCCTGCGCCCAAGCCCGGGTCAATGCGGCCCTGGCCCTGCAGGATCCTGCAAGGTCGGGGCGCTCTGGCTGACCCCCGTTTGCGTTGACCCCCGTCTCAAGGCTCCCGAGCAGACTCCAAGTCACGTCCTCCGGCCCGGCCACGAGGCGCGCCCGCAGTCTGGCGACCGACGCCACCCCGTCGACCCTTTCCTGGGCGGTTTTGTCCCGGATGGTGGCGGCGCTGCTGGCGACGGACGCCGTGAGGTCGTCGATGGGCCGCGCCTTCTCGCCCTGGACCACGCCGAATCGGCGGCTCGCGGCCCGCTGGTGGCCGAGGACGTCATCCAGTTGGCCGGGCGAGAACGGCCCACGAGCGAGACCCCGCTGCACCTCGACGCGAGTCTTTCTCGAGACCTCTGCGTTGATTCGGCGGTCGGCGGCGCGGTGCTGGCTCGCTGCCGCGAAGTCGAGGGAGGCCCAGGCTGCTGGCGCCTGCTCCCGCAGCCGCCGCTTCGGCCGGCCCTCCCTGATCGCGTCCAAGGGCTTGGGGGGAAGCCCGCGGCGGCCGAAGTCCCTGGCGAGCCTGAAGCCAGTCGCCATGTCGCTCGCGACGCCCGCGTCGGCGTGGCCCACGAACTGGGGCATGTGCTCGAAGACCAACGCGTTCTAGCCGCCCAGCGCGCCCTGTATCCCGGAGTGCATGTGCGCGTGCAGGCGACGCTCGGCATCGCGGAACGATGCCGGTTGATCCTGCCGGTGCGCCTTCGTCGCATCGAGCTTCGTCTTGATGTCGCCAAGCGGCGTGGTCAAGGGGTCGAAGACGGCCGTGGCCGCGTCGTCGTCTGCGGCGGGGCGCGCGTCGAACGGGTGCTTGGCGTGCGCGGCGAGGTCAAACAACTCCAGGGGCGCGCGTGGCGCGCCGAAGCTGAGCCCGCCGCGTCCCCCCGCCAGAGGCTTCGCTGAACGAGGTGGAATGGGCCCAGCAGGC